CAAGTATGAAAGCTAACGTCTTACCTTATCCGTAAAATTTATTTTGGTGTTCAACCAGTACGGCTGTGTGTTCAACCAAAATTTGAGAAAAAAAATTAAAATTATGTTTTTGCTGTTTTACTCAACTTTCTGAGCATTTCTAAAGTTCCCTTTCACAGTTTACCACGTGTGTATAAAGAGACTTAAGGAGATTCATAAGTTTCTATGGTTTAATCCTGAATTCTGAGTGTTAAATGAAATTTCTTGAAATTTCCTCATGAAATTTCTTTTTATAATCTTTCACGAAATTTCTTGACTCTGACCGCGAAACAGTTCACCTCGGCGTTTTTTGCGCAAAATCGGGCAATGTCAGCGTGGAGCATCCCAGCAATTCAACCCGCGCGCGGCTCCAACATAAATCACTGGTCCCCGCCCCCCGCCACCAGCGCCGGTGAGTGGTGAGCCGGCTTCGATTTCTCCCGTCTCCATTTTTCCCCCGGTGTCCCCCGTTGAAAATGAAACACCTTCCCAAGGTCGCCGTAAATTCCGAAATCGACTTTCTAGGACGCATCGTAAAATTCGCCCCCGGCGGGTCCTCAGCGGGGACGGAATAAGTGCCGGTGGGGTGTTTTGCGATGTATCGTTTGATCTCCCATTTAAACCTATAGATAAGGGTCAGCAAACAGTGTGTTCGCGACGAAGACCGTAATAATCGATTCTTTACCATAGCCTCAAATGGGGAAGTATCGAGAATCGATCATTCAGGCCTCAAGCTCTCCGCTTTCAGGTCCTTTGGCTCGGGCCCCTCGCTTTAGCGGGACCTGGACGATATTTCCAGATTTTATGTAGCCGAGCCAGAGGTAGAAAGTGGAATTTCTCGTTTTGAAATTTTACGAAATTTGAAATTTGTTAATTTTTTTCGAAATTAATAACGAAACCTTCGGAAGTTCGTAAGCGTTAGAGATGGTGATGGTGCTGTTGATGCGGCAGTGTTATGCTACCTCGATGTGGTGCTGCATACGAAGGGGGGGGGGCACAAAAAGGATCTAAAGAGAACTTTAGTCCCAACCTTACCTCTAAACCAAACAAAAACATTTGCAACTCGTGAATGATTTAGGCTCGGGGTGAAAATTGTCAAAATCGAAAATCACAAAAAGAGAAAAATTGGAGGGGCTTGGAGGACAAGGCGCATGAGTGCAGTTTTTTAAAAAATCGAGTTATCCATGATTTCACAAATAAAACTAGTCTTAATGCATATTTTGTGAAAAATTCGCTCCCAAATTCCAATTTTTAAGCGTCATAAAGTCAATTTGAACTTACTTTCCGCCATGAGGATCCATGTAATTTCAAAACTTCCAACACGTATTTCTCGAAATAGCAAAAACTGTATTCATGCGCCTTGTTATCCAAGCCACTCGATGCACGCATACATTCTGCATTTTATTTTTTCATTTTTTTTTTCCCCGATCAGCATCATTAAAATTATTTAATCACTTCTATAGCACCTAGCACCTAGGCCAGCTTTTTTCAATACGTGTTATAAAGGGAACCTGTAGACCCTAATAAAATACTAGGAGGAATCAATCTTACATTGTTTTTAAAGAAAAGAATAAATGAGTTTGAGTATTGCATAAAATGAAAGAATGCAAAAACAAAAATGAAAAAAAAATGAAAAATGAATGAAAATGTAAATGAATTGCATAAATGAGTATTTGCATGAAATTGAAGGAGCGCTCTTAGAAGTTTGGATTATGATTTTGCTGGCACTGACCCATTGCACGTCGCCTAGAGAACTATTCGAAAGTTAAACCGTCAGTTCCCGGATTGAAAGTGTGAAACTGAAACTGGTATGAGCGGAAGAGCGGTGCAAATTGGGCCCCGTCGGCTGTATTGTTTAACAAGTTGACCGCATGTTTTCAACTTTTCCTTTTCTTGAATGTTAATTCACCTATTAAACCTTTCATATCGTAGCCTAGACGGACACTCTGCTATTTCTGAGCGAAAAACACATCAGTCTCCTTCCAAGGAGGAAGTCTTTTAAATCGTTATCTCGCTCATTGTCGCAGTATCCTTCTTTTAAAAACACACCAAAGAGGTGAGGTACTAAAGACGTACAAAAAATTCGAATGAAAGTGAGGAAATGATCTCAAATGCGTTTCACTGCATTAGATACCATTTTATAACTGTAATTTTAATTTTTGGTATTTTTGCCTTTGGCTTCCCCTCAGAATAGTATGGAACCAGGATTATTCTCAATTTAGATCTACAGTCTTCAGACCACATTTTCATTTTTGCTCTTTTTTCTCTTTACATATCAGCAAGTAATTGTAAAAATTACCTTCCTTTTATCTCGCTCATTTTACCATTTGGGCGAAACAGCAGTGCAGCTCCTCGTATAAGAAATTATCAAAGTGGAGTGCATCATCATAAAATGGATACTGAAAGCTGAGTATTTGATCTCCCAATCCGCAAAAATAATCTTTCTCACAATCTCTTTTCCTTCCCAAAATTTAAAATTTGAAGGAAAAAAATACCAAATGCATGTCGTTTAATAATGAAAATATGACGTAAACAGAATGCTAAGTTGACTACGTTTTACTGCATGAAAAACTACCTACTACAGTATTGTGAAGCTGCTAAAATTGATTGTGAAACTTCATTTGCCATGGGAAATTAACCTATAAAAGTGCTGACAGTTTCTATTTGCATACCAAAAGAAATGTTACTTGATTGATAAAGTAACTCATACCTAGATCTCATTTATTCATCTGCTTTCGGTTTTTATTGAAAGTGCAAGTTGGACCAACTCACAAAAAAAAGGGACAAAAACAAACATTTAAAAATCTCAATGATCATAGATCCTTATGCCGTTATAATAAAATACGGAACGCTGTAGGGGGTGGGGCTTCGAGTAGACCCCCGCCCCCTCATTATTACGTCATTTTGTTTTTAAGTGTTAAATGATGGAGACCTTACGTTACAAAAACGTTACTGAAGTCCGCAATTTAACGTTACCCAGTGGCGATTCTTGAAAGTTGACAATACTTATTTTTCCTACCTTTGAATAACTTGCAACGCCGTCTTTGACATTACCTACATATTTTGTGAAATAGAATTCTATCACTCAAGTTTCTAACGGAGGATAATTAGATTTACATTGAAGTTGAAAAATCAGGAGTCAATTTTTGATAATAGGCTGTGAAGTAATATCAATTTTTTCTGCAACTAACAAGGGGAACTTACGGACCTGCCGCCTCCGATTGGGCTGAATTTTTTTTTACAGACTCTATGGACCAATTCTAGAGGTCAATTTGAGCCGTTTTCCCGAATGCGCAATAAGAAGGGCGTAAAAAATTCCCAAAAGTTGCGTTTTCGGCGTGTGATTTGGTCGTGCGGCGCGTGGCAACACTGAAGCAGCCTCTAGTACCGCTTTATCGGCCTGAAGGTTTCAGCGGAGTCCGGAGCCCTACTGCACACGTACTGGTTCCATGATAGTGATGTCCCGGGTTCGATCCTCGACTTTTTATTTTCCGCATGATCACGTAACATTTTATTTTTAATTCTTCATCCGCATTTATAAATCAAGCAGTTCCGATCACTATCCCCCCCCCCCTCATTTTACGTACATTTTCCCCCGATATTTATTCACATTGGCCACATATAATCGTATGAAACTTCATTGATATAAATTAATGAATTAAAAAGCAAAAGAAAACCTTATTTGTTACTACATTATCTTCAAATGTTTTCCTGGAAAAATATGTAATGTGTAAATAAATCGAAGAGCAACCCCAAACCCATGTGCATGCAAGGGTCACCAAGAAACACATTATTTTAGCCCTTTGCTTTTTAATTCATTAATTTATATCAATGAAGTTTCATACGATTATATGTGGCCAATGTGAATAAATATCGGGGGAAAATGTACGTAAAATGGGGGGGGGGGGATAGTGATCGGAACTGCTTGATTTATAAATGCGGATGAAGAATTAAAAATAAAATGTTACGTGATCATGCGGAAAATAAAAAGTCGAGGATCGAACCCGGGACATCACTATCATGGAACCAGTACGTGTGCGGCAGGGCTCCGGACTCCGCTGAAACCTTCAGGCCGATAAAGCGGTACTAGAGGCTGCTTCAGTGTTGCCACGCGCCGCACGACCAAATCACACGCCGAAAACGCAACTTTTGGGAATTTTTTACGCCCTTCCTATTGCGCATTCGGGAAAACGGCTCAAATTGACCTCTAGAATTGGTCCATAGAGTCTGTAAAAAAAAAATTCAGCCCAATCGGAGGCGGCAGGTCCGTAAGTTCCCCTTGTAAGACACCGTGCCAAAAACTTTAACCTGTGAGAAAATTACATTTATGGTCCATCAAATCTTTGTCTATACCTGTTTCAGTGGCAATATTTCTTAGAATAAAGTAAAGAACTGTACGGCTAAAACAACCTCTGCACAGAATTTAACCTCAGAAAATGCGGAATGGCGAAAAATTACAAAATGAAAAAGTGTAATGATTAGAAACTGACATTCGCATGACAAACAAATATTACTCCTGATTTGCTTGCTTTGAGTAAAGAATACGTGAATCGCACAATCTGGAAGTTCTCCGAGCATTTACATCTGATGAGTATAAATTTCGCATAATGGTTAGTATATGAAAATTATATTTACGGAGTATAAAGACGTGCATTTTAAAGCTCCGTTTGGAAGCTAGTAAAACTGAGGAACTTAGAAGAAAAGGCGCACAAGCGAAGTTTTTGAAATAATTGAGATGAGACGTTAATGATTTTAACTAAAACCAGTCTTTAAATATATTCATGTAAAAAATTCAATACTAAAATCCAATATTTAAGTATATTTAAGTATTAAAAAGTGAAGTGAAACTTCCTTTCCGCCATAAGACTCAATTTAATTTTAAAACTTAAACACGTATATCAAAATATCAAAAACTGCACTGATGCGCCTCGTCCTTCAAGCCCCTTAATTCAAAATCATCAGGTCGGCATTAATGAGAAGAATTTATTTCTTAATAAGTATTTCTTTTATTAAAATCTACATTTATTCATTTGGAACGCAGAAAATCATTTGTTCAATTCAACTAAGCATGAAATTGTTTTTCCTCTAAACTTTAAGTCTGCAAGTCTCAAAAGTCATTTTTATGACACTAATTGGTTAAAATAAGTTATGGTAGGTAATGAAATATTCAGTCGTAAAAAATTACAATAGTAACAAGTAAAAAGCTAAAATATCACAACAAATCTATGAAAAACTGGTAATAAGTACAAAGTAGCGAGTCGGTTTGAGTCCATGAAACTTACTTAAAACTTAAAAACGGCTCGGCGCGCTGCTCGTGGATTAAATTTCCTGAGACTTGATTCCACGTCTTCCTTCCTGTTCACAACATTGTCTCATTTGCTGTTCTCTGGCATCGTCGAGCGTCTCGCAGTATTGGTTGAAGGAGAAGTTGTAGCAGTAAAATCCAAGTTTCGAGCCGCAGTTACCCGTCGCCTTTCCATCCCACATGTTTCCACCAATTCCGCTACCGCACCGCGTAATTTTCTTCCCTTGAACCATTCCTAAGATCACCACAAGGACGGCCAAAAATACGCTCAGGCTGAAGTATTTCATCGTGATGTACTTTTTAAAATCTGAAACGAAAAATTAAACATTCGAAGGATTAGGGCATGCTTTCTGGAAACATTTCAGTTTTGAATTTAAATACGTGTAAAAATACAATTGAGGTTTCCAGGTCGGGTATCTGAAGTTCGCAGTCCGAAAAACAAATTTTCTCGAACTAGCTATTCAAGTTCTGACGTCGTAAACGTCAATCTCTCACTCATGGGTTGATTTTGAACTTTTGGAACGCGTCCGGTCTGTTTGCTCGAAATTAGAACTATAAAACAGATTTTTAAGATGGAAAGAATTTACGCGTAAACTCTCGCGAGAGTTTTCTTTTTCTCTATTTAAAGGAAAAGGATATTCTCGCGCCGACAGGTCATTTTGAACAGTACAACACCGAAAACATAGGAAAATTGGACTGCATTTTTAATTTGGAACTATAATTTATTGCTCAGTTTACAGACAACGTATGTACCGTTAGTTTCCCTGCGCACTTGAGTGTTTTTACAGATGAGCCAGAAATTGTAGTTTTGAATTAAAAAATGTAGTCCAATTGTTTTTTGTTCTTTTACATGTATTCTGAAGTCTCTTTTTCCACAGCGAATTTGCAGAGATAAAAAATTAAGATTTCCAGAAATAGGGCATAAGGCCTCGTGTTCCTTTTTTCTTAGACTTATTTAAAACTTTATGGGCTTCTTTTTTATCAAAATCTCTTCAGCTTTATTTTCACAAAATGGAATTATTTTGTAACATTCTAACGTTATAATATGATATCCTCAGATAGACATGGCTATGAAGAATGAAGGTAATATGACGATTTGATGATCCCAGCAATTAATGCTTCTCAGATTTTGGGAAGTCATAGAGAGTTAAATGGTTTACATTTATAATATTTCTCAGCTCTTACGAAAATGCCTCGAAAAATAGTTATTTGATCACTTGACTCAATAAGTTGGGTTCGGTTTAAATGGAAAACACATCTTCACTGCTCAAGAATGTGCAATGGAATTTCGTGGATATTTCAGCTTTGATACAAATCTGGTGGTGTTCAATAAATGTACGGAAATCATTCGAATTTTAGTCTGATGGGTTTATTACCTGAAATTGAAACAGCACTGTAAATAAAATTTCATTTTATCAGCCTCAAAAAACGAATCTCAGATTTTGTTCAAGCAAGGTATTTTTTTTTCTCAGCCGATAAATATGCATTTATAGCGGGTGGTTTTTTTTCCAGAAAATTTCTGTATCTTACCTTCAATCCTCCAACACTTTTTAACACTACAAACTGAGTTCATAAAATGTTTAAAATTAACGCACGTGAAGCCACAGTAAAATAATTGTTTGAAGCAAATTTTTCGGCCGTGCCTTAAAAAAAAAAAAAAAAAAAAAAAAAAAAAAAAAAAAAAAAAAAAAAAAAAAATCTCGCTCTACATAAACAGTTGCACATTCTCAAACTAGCAAACCTAAAATATCGATTTCTTGAAGAAGAATAAATACCTAATCATGGTCTAGAGAATGTTTTATTCGACAGATATGCAAGACTTATTCAAAATTCGTGAAGATCCCCCAATGAATTTTGTCGATCTAAAATGGCACTTTTAATGAAAACTCTACATCGGCAACCTAAACGCCAAAAATGTTGATCTAGCTTAGAAAAGAAATATAACTCAGATCTTTCCTGAATTCTTTCTCAATCATGTTAACATCTCTTGTCGAGATAGTATTTTCCCCAATAGTCGTGCGTTTCCTTCTTACTACTGCTTATAATGGAAGTTTAGCACGGAAGAGTTTGTCGAAATACCAGGAATAAAGCAAATGAAAAGAATGAAAACTGAAGTAGGTAATGCTGAAAGTACAACTTTAAGACGCGTGATTACCATTAATTTCTCGATACGGATGATGTGCTATGATAAATTAATTGTATGAAAATGCACGAAACGCAAAAAATTAAAATCCACCCATGAACTTTTTCCTTTGATTACATTCACTGGATAACTATGAGAAGGAGGAGCGGTGGGGGGCTAAAAGCTAGAGTTCAGTCACGTATATCTCTCTCTTCATGGCTTGAATAAAACAATTTTCTTTTTAATAAAAAAAAGAAAAACTAAAAACAAATCGGCGCACCAGAAACAGGATATGAATTTGCATACCTTTTTGTCAAATAGTAGATTAGTAGTTGTAGGTTGCTGGAAAACAGGAGAGAGTCAGGGTCCGTTTTAAAGTTGCAGTCAACACAGCGATGGTCAAAGCTCGAATGAGGCGATGGCAGAGGACGAATCCGTCCTTTCCTCTTTATCGCGGTGCATTCGAAGAAAACAAGGACCCTCGACCAAAGTCCAGGGTCATGGTCTTCGTAATCTGGAAGTGTATCGAACGTTCGAGAATGATGACTGATGATGGGAAACATGATTAATCTGTTAACGATGAGATCGACCGTATTTCGTCCCGTAAACAAGTTTATATTTGTGTCCTGTCAATCTGCCCACCTTCTGATCTGCCGTGATTGCGAAGAAGTTAGTGCATGCTAGGATGAACCTCGAGACACATAAAGCATGTGCAAACCATGGCTCGTACAGAAACGCACTTACTGCTCACTTCGCTATCACGGCAGTGACAGGCTTCGATACCGATCGACACACTGCCGTGCTAAGGAAGAACGCCGTATGAACATTTGAGAGTTGCCAAGTATCCTTGGATAAAATGTTTATTTTTGAGGAAAATTATGAATATTTTTCCTTGAAATTTTTAGACTCTTCAGGCTGAATTACAAACGAAATTATCTAAGAAATTGGCGGAAAAATATTCAAAAATTTTCCTGAAAATTAGCGATTTGCCGGAGGAAGTTTGGCAACGCCTGAAAGATCATACGGCGTTTTTCCTTAGCATGGCAGCATAGGTCTAGCTTATTGCAAACAAAATTCCGGACACGCATACGAAGGCCTGCAGGTTTATTGACGAGGTGATAGGACGAAACTTTTCAGACGAGTATGAGAACATTTTTTTTTTAAATTTTGAAATTTTTCATGAGACTTTTGATAAGGGTGCCTTGTTGTGGAATTGTTAGGTTTTTTGGTACACCAACAATGTACTCCATTTTTTAATGATAAATATACTAAAACAGAGGAAACTAGACTCTCGAGGAAGACGGTCTACGTAAGCAGATAAATGATAAATTGCACCGACAGAATTCGAGCACTGGCCACCAGATTTTCTGGGAAGCAAGTAACATTACGAATCTGGTTACTACTAACATCCGTTTAAAACTGGGTTTTTCTAAAGTTAGATCACATCAATTTTATTAGAATTCAATCTAGATCATAACATTTATATTTGTTGGTGACTGAAAGCTCTATTTTTGCTTACCGCGCAGCATCATGAGCTGAGTTTACGCTAATCTCTAGCGCCGGACCCAAGGTAAAACTTGTTCCTGTGCGTAAATGCAACACCTCAAGATCGGCGGTGGCATATTGCAGAGATAAACACTTAAACAGGAACTTTCCATACAGTCAACGATTTGAATGAATGGATACATTTTATTCAAAGTCTGGCAGCACTTTTCAAGCATTACTGACGGCTAGACGATTTTATTACTTTAATCGTGTTGGACTTGTTGAAAGCTTGCGGATCGATGATTGAGCGCACGCGTCAATGATAGAGATCACCACTTAATGTGATTTAGCCAGGCGTATATCAAATAAGTTTCACATTCACGTTGAATTTAATCCTTCTCATCAAATCGATAGTTCGCCTGAGTCACGTTTCATCTGTCTTCTTGTCTTAATCGCAAAGTAAAGCTTCAGTAAAGTGAAAAAAATGGACAGAGGGACTTCATAAAGTTCTTTATAATAAAGGGACTTTTTAAGTGATGAATTATACTAGATTTTCTGAAAAATGAATGGGTTCGACCCCTAGAGCCAAATTAATATCATCCATTTTTCACGATTACGCGAGCGATGTCCTCTCGCAGCTAACCTACCGCGGCGCACAGTGATTCGCACTGGAAAAGAAAAACACATTGGATCTAGAGTCCAGACTCTTGAAAATATTGACAAGAAAAAGGACTCTTGATTCAATCAGATTTAAGCCTAAATCAAAAGGAAATCCGCTCAAATTAAGAGGCTGGGTTCTTGATTTAAGCTTAAATCTGATTGAATCAAGAGTATTTTTTCTTGTCGATGTTTTTAAGAGTCTGGACTCTGGATCCAATGTGTTTTTTTTTCCAGTGCGAGTCAATCGGAGAGGTCAGACATAAAATGTTTAGCTAAACTTGCAAATGTAATTTAATTCGTCACATTTTAAATCTCAAGGAGTGCCCCTAGAAGAAAAATTCACGAAGAAACCAATGAAATCACTTTAAAACCTCAAAGTGTTGTATGAACGGAATTATAAGGTTTTAAATTTTCCAGACTCTGTCCGACCTCCTCCATCGACTCAATCCAATGTGCAGCGGTAGATAACTTTCGTCTTGACGGCAACCATTCGAGGAGAATGCGTGCCAAAAAATTTTCACGGCCACCACGTGAAAAAATAATCGTCCTCCCTCCCGTCCCAAGATACAGCAACGGCGGAATTATCAGGAATGAGGGAATGCTGAACCCCCGTCGGGTCGGTCAGCGTGTCGGCCGTTGAACAGCTCTGAAGAAAAAGATTTTTTTTTTTTTTTTGACAAGCGGTGAGCCGATAATCAAGACACCAGCGTGCTCTCCTCGAACAGAGGATGTAAGATGGCAAATTGAGTGTCATAGAGTGTCAACGCAACGGTGCTGCGTTTAGGACGCATTTACCCGGCGCACAGTGGTTCGAGTCAATTAGAGAGGTCGGACATGAAATTTCTGACTAAAACTGCAAATTTTGATGTCTATTTCGTCACATTTTAAATTTCAAGAGGTGCTTTTTGAAGAAAATGTTACGAGGGAACCGATGAAACCACTTTTCGAACCTTTAAGCTGTGTATAAACGGAGTTATAAGCGTTTAAAGTTTCTAAATTATGTCCGACCTCTCCTATTGACTAGATCCACTGTGCGGCGCGGCTGACGCGAAGATGGCGACGCAAAAGAGGGAAATGAATAGCCCGGGCCAAAAGTAGTGTAAGAATGTTCGTCGGGGGTCCCAGCGTGAGCTCGCGATGGAAGGTTCATTCAAGAGTACCCGCCATGTTGCAATACTGTGGAAATTATCCGGATTTTTACATCCGAGACCCAAAATCAATGTGACGTGGATCAATCCTTGAATCGGAGACTTCAATCAGGTCTTAAGTGTGACCGAAAATTATGACTGTCATCGAGAGCCGTTTGAGAACAAATAAAAGGAATACCCTGCGATCATTGCTGCCGCTGTATTAACGGGAGGAATTTAAACCATTCGTTGAAAACAGTAGCGTTCGTCGCCGAAGCGCCGCATCGCACAGTGGATCGAGTCAATTGGAGAGGTTGGACCTGACATTTTTGACTGAAACTGCAAATTTTGGTGTTAATTCCGTGACATTTTTCATTTCAAGGGGTGCTTTAATTGGAGGTTTCACGAGGAAACCAATAGAACCACTTTTAAGACCTCAAATTTTTGTATGAACGGAGTCGAAAGCTTTTGAAGTTTCCATATTTTGTCCGAACTCTCTCATTGACTCGATCCACTGTGCGCCACGTCGCCACGTGTATCCCTGTCATGTTCATACGTCGCAGTCCGTTTAACGTCAACACTCGAAAAATCAGATTCCTCACTTGAGTATGACACAGATCAGTATGGGTTTAATTCTCTTCATTTCCAGCGTTAAAAGCGTGAGACCTCCTATTTGTACCGTTCGCTTTTGACCGCAAACCATGAAGTCGGCATCCTCATGACAGCTAATCGTAAGCCATCTCAGTTCATCGTCTCGATACGAGGGCGATTTTGCAGTTGCACTGTTTTTCCTCCGTTTAAATCCATCGAAAATATCGATTTGAGATGAAAGAATCGATTGTTTTACATGCATTTAAAGCGAGATCAACAGTGTTGCCAACTTTCAAGAATCGACATGAGGACGTAACTACACTTCGCGATGAACCCTGTCGCCCATATACTTTAATACTTTCTGGGGATCACATAAAAGTGTAGCTCCGCCTCTTTGTCAGCACGGAAAAATTTGGCATTATTAAAATGTAGTTTCGTCCTTCCGTGAGGGAAACGACGAGATGTCACTGAAATAATTTCTGATAGAAGCATAAATTGATTTATTAAACTACTTGTAATCATATTGGATAAACCATTTTGAAAGCTTTATATATCGACGGTGAAACTACCAAACCACGTATCTCGGTTTGCGACGTCGCAGACTTCCTGTCATACTTTATTGTTTAAATGAAAAACTACTTAACATCCAGTCTTGAAAATTTCTGTGATTTTTCCTCTTTGTGCGGAGAAAATTCCGTGAAAATTTCAAGGAATGATATTGATTTGGTCTACTTCAATAAAATAAAATGTGAGCGTAGATTTTTAAACACCGCAAACGAGATACGTGGTTTGGTAGTTTCACCGTCGATATGTAGTTGCGATTGTATTTTACTCCGCGATTAGCTCAGTATCTGGGAGTGCACATGTATCCACGTACGTAACCTCGAAGAAAAATGTGGGAGAAATAGAAAGGCGATTCAACGATGTGTGTGGGTGTTAATTAGCTGGAGTCTGGTCATTTTGCCAATTTGGGGTTTGACTGCCCTCTCCTCTATCTCTGCCACCCGGCCACGCCCACAAAAAAACAAATGCTGTATCCTTGTCACGTCTTTTCTATTTACTTTTTGGCGAATTCTTTTCTGATGCATATTCACGCTGCGTTACCCGTTAATTAAGCCCACGTGCCGTGTATGCCAGTCCCACCATTAATTAAAGTTGCAATATTCACCCACAGAGCATTAGATTTCTCCGAGTTCCGCCTTTTAGAAAAAATAAAACGAAAGGGATTTGGGGCGCCGAGCTTCGCAAGAGAAAAATACGTGTGCAACGGTTGTTTTTTCCCCCTGGTCATTTTCAATCATGCGGGTCTTGAATTTTTTAAAAGCAGAGATTGTGATTAGCTATAACTTTACTTTAAATATAGTGGTACCGTTTCATAACATGTAGAATAATGTTTTAATGGTTGTACATTAGAGATCGGCAAGAATGTATAAGTTCGATAGGATGATATTTCTTTTCCATTTAGTGATTTTATTTTCGAGTGTAAATCCGAAATTTGGAGTGCCTTCAATATCCAATACTTTGCCAGTCGTCTCTTCAAACTTAACTCGGAATTTTTTTTGGGAATTTTCCGGTGTATTTTCATTTTTTCGGACTGTCCGCCGAAAAATTCGGCCTCCTATGGTGTTGTGCGGTTGTAGCGCTGGCCACACATAATCAGTGTTCCAGGAGTTTTGGTCGTAGGAAGATGATACCGTTGCCTCTCTAAATAGCTTCACGGAAGATTTTTTAACATCCTTTTCAACGCTCACCTACTATAATATTACTGACAAATGTGAAAATTTACTCGTTGGTTATCCGTATACTTCTTTGGTTAGGAGGCGATGTTTTTGAAAGCCGCACCTAGAAAAGAGGGCTGCGACCAAGCGTGCGTAGCAGCTGCCAGATTGTACATTAAAATCTACGTTCTTCACACCGTGTTACTCACATAAAAATGCTGATTTTTCAACGTATGTGCGTGGATGGACGTCAATATCGGTCAGATGCGTGCGTCGCGGCGCGTCGTTGCAAAACGCCGCCGCGCAGCGCGGCCGATCTGGCGCTGATCTCCCGGGTAGGCAACCCGCACGACAGTCCGGCAACCTACTGCGCCCGTCCCATCTTCGGAACGCGCATGCGCAATGCAATCATCTCGATCCCGATTTCGATCACAAGAATGCAACGCGTGTAGTCCTGTAATCCTGTAATTATTACCATAACGCGCCCTGATATCATCCGCCGCCTGGAACTCAACCGCCGCGTTGTCATATCCACGAAATCATCGAGAATTCCTCATTTTAGGACCCAATTTTTACAAACCGCTACCATAGCTTCAAACGGAGAATTATCGATAATCGATCATTCACGCCTCGCCACTGCGATGAAGATTTTCCTCGGAAACATTTCCGAAAAATTGTTATGTTAAGTTCAAAGGGGCATTCCAGATATTTTAACGTATACACGCTAAAAGGAATTGTGTATAAATGATTTACATCCAGAGTTACCACGTGTATTTTTACATACTTCCTTTTGATTTTGTGTAGTTGAACATAGTTACTTTCAGCATAAATACTTATAGCACGTGAAACTGAATCAATCAAAAGGAACTTTGCATACGGTATACGTGTCATACATTCCCTTTAAGATTATTCATTTACACATATTTACTTTATCATGAGTACGGCCAAGACACATTTTTATTATACATTCATACAATCATCATACATTTTATTTTGCCATGCACGTATTCTCGTAGGTCGAAGGATCCTGGTTCCCTGTAAGAAAATTTGATCCAAATCCGTTGACTTAACGGTGTAAATGGCAACGAGGAGGCCAATCGGGGCACGCTCCGCCCTCTGCTTGGTGGCCTCGTGGCCTATCGCAGTGCAGTTGCGTGGATGCGGAGCGGCAGATGCTATTATCGCATCGCTCACGTCGGCTATCGGATAGCATGCGCCCAAACAAGGGAATCGCTCCGGGTGCAATCAGTCAAAGCTTTAAGCAGGCAAAATTTTGAAGGATCCCGGTAGTTGTGTCAGCATGAATTCGCCCAAAATTCGGGCATTAACCTCTACCCAAGGTACGAATTTAAGCATCTTAATGTATGTTTCCGCTTTAAAATTTCTTGTAAAACACGGTTCGCGCAACAAAATTAACTGATAATAACCTCAAGCCAAGATAATGCCGTTTTTAGCAGGAAAAACGGGAAACAAGGTTAAAAATACAGAACACAACGTTAATTTTTACTCGAAAAAAAAAGTAGAAAGTAAAAAAAAAATTCCAAAAAACGTGAAACCCACACGATGGTCCCGAGATTCGAGAATCGCCACGTAGACTTCAGGGTTTTTTCCGAATTTTTTTTAATTTTTTACTTATTTCTCCGGCAGTTGTGTAGTTTTAGCCTTGTTTCTCGTTTTCTCTCCGTTGTTTTTGCATGCTGTTGTTTTTGATGTTCCAAAAAGTGTCGAGTATCGCAAAAGACGAATCGCTGTTGTCGACGATGGGTCGATGGGTGGATGTAGAGTACCTGTATAGCGAGAGTATGGACAGATCGCTTCACGGAGGGCTTAGGGCCCAAAAGTGCAGCCACCCTTCTAACCAACTTCTAACGCACAAAATTTCACTGCCAGTCTGCAGGTTCCAATTCTAACCAAGATGGCCAAGAATGTACAGAANCCAAAGAGCCAAAAACGTGAATTCTCACGGTGAATGAGTGGAAATGTCTGTGTGTGTTTCATGTGCGTCTGTGTTAGTGACTACGCGCTCACAGAGGAACCAGTGCGTCTTCATGAGAGCGTTATCACTTATCAGGCAACGCGCCGCGCCGCGCCGTCGCTAAATAGTCACCAGAGACTCTGCGTGAAACTAAATTCGGCGATAGTACTCTAGGTGGATGGATGAATGGTGAATCTAACTGCACTGAATGCTGGGGCATGCGCCGAGGTGTCCGGAATGCGAGGCATCTATTTTTTTAGTGGATCTCGATAAAAAGCGACTAACTGGATCTATGAGATAGAATTCACGAGGAGAATAGACAAGAGGCGGAGAGCGCGCGCCGGGCTGCCTCGTTTCGGGCCCGCGGCTCGCACCGGACCGCCCGCCGTTGTCAGAGTGCTCCCCAGATTTTTTAGCCCCCCATTCAAACTTGATGCAACAGCAGCGCGTCCCCTCGAATCCTTTTTCTATGCCTCATCCCTGTGAATTTCCTAAATAGGACAGTAATCATTCTCTTATAACGCCGCGGACTATACCTACTGATTTTTGTCGATTTTTGTCGATTTTTCCCCCAAAAATGGGGGGGGGGGATAGGTCACGCTAAGGATGACGTAATTTTTAGGGGGTCCAGCAGTGGATGACGGTTGGATACGGTAAGGGAAGGAGGGGTCGAAAAATTTGAAAAAATGGGTGTCGTAATTTATGGACGGCCCCAAATCAATGTAATAGCGGTACCGATAAGGCAATTCCCTTGGTAGCCTATGCTGCCGTGCTAAGAAAGAACGCCACATGAGCATTCGAACGTTGCCAAATTTCCTCTCGGATGAGACGTATTTTTGAAGAAAGTTATGCATTGCTTTCCATGAAACTTTCACGTGTTTTGCAGCAAATAACGAACAAAATACTCTGAGAAATCGGAAGAAAAGTATCCATGGATTTACACGAGAATGTGTGATTTCTGGTAGGAAATTTGGCACCGCCTGAAGGTGTTTGCGGCATTTTGACTTAGCACGGCGGTTTGAGTCACGGGTAAGGGAGTTTCGTTCCACCGATCACGGGTCCAGTTTGGCGACGGCGATGGTGGGAACAAAGGTGAAATATGAACGGTTAATATCATGCTAATAAACGATAAATCAGCGCCGTTGGCCGGCGGCCGGGGTCAACGATCAGCTGCAGCTGGCGGTGACGCGCAGCGCCGCGACGCTCGGCGTGCGGCGCCGCGGGCGTCACTTTTTCGCCGTTCCTTTTCTTCGTGAAGCCAAAGCGCCGACGCCGCACGGCTGACATAACCTCGGAGAGGAACATGTTCTCGTCGAGTGGTCCAGGAGCAGAGTTAAGAAATTTCATGAAAGATTATAAAAAGAAATTTCATTTAACACGCAGAATTCAGAATTAAACCCTTGAAACTTATGAATCTCCTTAAGTTCATTTGTACGCACGTGGTAAACTGTGAAAGGGAACTTTAGAAATGCCCAGAAAGTTGAGTAAAACAGCAAAAACATAATTTTGAATTTTTTTTCTTAAATTTTGGTTGAACACACAGCGCACAGCCGTACCGGTTGAACACCAAAATAAATTTTACGGATAAAGTAAGACGTTAGCTTTCATATTTGGAGCAAAACAAATTTCTTGACTATAAAGAATCCGAGTACTAAGTACCCCCTAATAGTATATCCTTCTTTTTTTGTACAAAAGGGAGGGAGGGATCTTGAACTATCTTTGAAACAATTTAAATGATTTTTTCATTTGTCTCTGATTTTTTTCAGAAATTAACAGTTTGAAATTTGAAGTTAGGGTCCCCGGCCCCCCTCCCCTTGATGAGCCAGAACTGCCAGAAGAGAAAGAGTAAGAGAAGACCAGAAGAGAAAAGCTGAGAGAAGACCGCGCTCCAACTGGTCTAATTGACGAATATTATTCTCTTTAAAAATAAAAACAAATTCTGTTAGAAAAAATAAGCATTTTTGACATTTTGTCGGTCGAAAGAAATTTCATTGGGAAAAAAGAAATTTCATTCGATGAAATTTCTTTTAGCAACTCTGTCCAGGAGGTAATCGCGTTCCTCTCGAGCCAACTCAACACCCTTTTTTCGTTAAGTCATCGACGTTTGGTCCAGCGCTTTAAACATTTTAAAGTTCCTTGTAAGCAGTTTGGGATATTCTGAGTAAATAACGATTTGTTAGCGCAATAGGCGCAATGAGGGCGTCCAGCCAAACGGTGGGTGGAGGGCATCCGTGAAGAGATGGAGAGATGCCAGCTTCCGGAGGATCTATACCATGGCAGATTCCTGTGGCGGGTAGGCGTCGCAGAGCGCCCCAGCGCACCGTAAAAGCGGCTTATACTTACATAGCGCAATAACTTTATGCTGCTCTAACATTTGTGAATATTAGAATGGAATGAATGTATTAGAATAATTTCCTCCTCATCTTCGTATTTTCGAACCGTCTTGTTTGCATTGAGACTTTTTACGCTTACCCTCTAACTCTGCTCGAGTTTTCGTCGGGATGCTTCGCTTATTGGGGACCCTATGGGATTTTAAACGGTAGAATAACACGTGAACTCTTTTAAACGTTTCGTGCGGTTTGGGCTCCCGAAAATTTGAAGGAATCGTTTACGGAACATTGCTTTTAAGATCGCACTCACATTTGAACTTGTTGGAAATCACTGAACTCTCTCGTGTAGCAAGTATATTGTGGAGTCTCGGGACTTGAAAAATAATTAAGACAGAAGCGATGATTTTGATAGCACGGTAGCTTCGAGCGAAACGAAGAGTGAGCGACGAAGCAAGCTGGTTATTGAAATTATTAGACAAAGCTACAGGGCCGGATTTAGGGGGTAGCTTTAGTGTATTTTTAATGAAGGTATAAAAAAAATCGGATTCAGAAAAAGAATCACAAACGAGAAAAGACGACAAAAGCTCTCTAATTTTGTCGTCTTTCAATGATACAAGAGACAGCACCTTTAATTAGTCGAGATAAGAGAGAAACCAAACACGCAATTTGGCTTGGAACGGCGCGGCGCGGCGCTGGCGTAGAGAGCGATGATGACGAAGACTCGAGATAAAAAGGAGAAGCCCTCGGCGCGGTGGTCGGCATCTAACACATATTAGCGCCTACAAGAGTGCATGAATACTTCACGCATTGCATAAAACACAGAGCGGTCAGCGTGAAACGCATGGCGCCTACAAGATTGAATGAATACTTCACGCATTGCGCCAAACACAGTGCGGTCAGCGCGTCGCGGTGCGGCGACGGTGGAAGTTAAAATTATTAAGGCACATTCATGAACATAACACCGGCACATTCATCCGGTTCTTTCTTAATTTGTTTGTTCATTTCTTCTAAATGGAAGCTTTTCCACACAGATATAGGTTTAAGGAACTTAACTTTTGCTAGTAGTGTTGTCAGGGCTTTCGTAACAAATGTGTCCATCATGAGTGAACGCGTCTTATGCACCACCCCCCCCCTTCCGGCACGTTCACTTGATGGTTTTTATTGATGTTTCAAATCGAATTAGAGGGGGGCGGCCCATGGGCGGCAAGATGGTAAATCCGGCCCTGCAAATCTATAGACAAAGAAGACAAAAGGGATATGGAGGGATATTGTGGAAGCGGGTGGAACTAAAGGCAACCTACAAGAGACCCTTAGTCCATCATTTTCTCCCTTAGTCTGTAAGAACCGGTCATTACAGCCAATAGGATCGCCCCATACTCCCTACAGTAGCGTAGACAAAGGGGGAGGGGTGTCCAGGAGGCCTGGACCCCCCCTCCCCCTTAGTCTCGCTAAATGTACTTTTTTCTTACTTTAGGAGGGTAGACATAAAATATCGTCAGGTTCGTACACAGAAGAATGTAAAATCGTCACAGTTTTGAATAATGCATGGTTGAGTTGCTGTTTCTGTCACAATTTTTACCTCAGACCCCCCGGTGAATGTACCCGCACCCCACCCAGAAAATTCCTAGCTACGCCAATGACTCTCTATGTATTATTTGCGTATAGATTTGTCTATCAATTTCGATAATCAGCCCGAGGAACATGCAGAGTTGCAGCGATGTAAAGCCAGTGTCGCTGCGAGGCTATCGCTATCCAAGAGACACTTGAGCGTGTTGAGAAGTTATTTTGCGGCGATTAATCTAATGAATTTACTCGTCTGCGGGCCGCCGCGCCGCCCGCCCCCGCGCAGGTTCCTTTGTTCGCTGCACTTTGCACGGTGTGGTCATGAACCGTGATCGAAATTATAAGCCGGAACCCTGCCTCCCAAGTTCCAACAACGCTTGCACTGACGCTAAATCTTCCTCGATGCACCGGTGCGGCTGTACAATTATCCTACAGTAAAATGAGTGTGATGCAACTCACCGCGAATAACTCATGTGAAATCTCGTCGGTTGCATAACCACTGCGGCGCTTATTTGATGTTCAGCGAGATTCCTCAGCTGCTGACTACTCTGCAATGATTGGGAAAAAATCTTCAAGAATTGAGCTTCTATTTTCTTTTCGTTCGAATGAACCGCGGATTTCTGAAGAATACGCATTGGCGCACGTGAATCCCCTTCCATTTGTACGTAAAATGTAAATATAAAGAATCAGTTGTTCTCCCGCTGCGCACTTGATGAATAAATGCTCTCTAATCCTCAAAACGTTAATTATCTCTATATAATTATTCTCTTTTTCTCTGTTTCAGATTGTAAGTAAGCACGCGTGCTACTATGAACTAACATTGTATTCCTGCACATCGTTCCGAACTGAACACGTAAGTTCCTAGTGCCCCAAAAGTGCTATCTTATCGGATCCAGCTAATTGGCAACATTGTCTTTTCCATTTAGACCTATGGAAAAGCATCGATTCTTGGAGGGGCCAGGTGCCCCGAAAAGAATCGATTATTTAGCAAAGGTTCAAATGGAGGAAATCCGGTGTTGCCAAAGTGCTGGATTTACTCTCTGCTGTTTTGAGGAATCCAGCCATGAATAAAATGTCAGGGATTCACTAGGCAACTATGTCGGATTTGCGGAAGTTGCGGCCAAAACGAGCCGTTTCCCTGAGAATGAAAAACCGAGGAAAAATAAAGGTGAACTGACAGTCGTTATGGGTCCCCTGCTCTTGAGCACGACGGCGGCGCGGCGCGGTAACTGTACTTTGATAGTTGCCCACCGTTGCCCGACATAGTGCAGTGGCATCGCCTCGGAGGTTTCAAAGAGAATAGGCGCGTTTTTTATTCGATCCGACAGCCGGAGCAACGAAAACGGACGCTGGCGGAGTCTGATAATTTGTCAAATGGAGCTGCGGTCCGGCGAAAACTCGGCGACAGAATGGGCGGAAGAGGTGATTGTGATCAGGGCTGCCGTTTGACAGTCGATCGTGGACGGTGGCCGGGGAAACTCGGACACACGTGGCAACGTTGGTCGCGATTGTGACGGTGATCGTTGCTCTAAGGATACATTCCGGAGATGACACTTAGGACGATTGATGCTTGATGGCGGTGATTGGTGAGTCCGTTGTCGTGTCATTGTTGGATGTTGACAAGCCGCGGCTGATGTGATGCTTCATGCTTGAGTTGCAAGTCGTGGAAATCGCCAACTGGGCCAAGGCGCAGCTTGTTGCAGCTCTTGGAGACAGACGTCGTAATCGCGGGAACGATGCGCATCGCCGACGTAGTTAGCGCAAAAAATACCAACGGAATCCGCTCGGGACAATCAAACAACAAAAAAGAATAGCCATAGATAATAAGGGAAATTCCCTTTGAAAACTGTCAGCGAAAATAGGAAATTTTCTTGAGGAGACTAGGCTTTTTCTTCACCCATCATTCCTAGATATTCCGAGTTTTCACTATATTTTGAGACTCTGGCAAGAACATTTTCCTTATGACGTTGGCCAGTATCATAGTCCTTTCATAGGGAGAGTTGAGCCAACGCGGCTCACGGATGTCACAAACGGGAATAAAGATTACGCAAATTCAACTCATTCCCAAATTCCTGTCTCCGTTTCCTCTCTCATACCGTTTGTTCCTTGCCATGTCCCTAATTCCCCGGTCTATTCTAGTTCATAATCTTAAAGCGTCCAGCCCACCTTCAAACTAGGGGCTTCAAAGAGGCTCATCGATGGAACTGTTGACTGTTGCCTTTCAAAGATCTTCGGGCCGACGATGGCTTCAAAGAGGCTCATCGATGGAACTGTTGACTGTTGCCTTTCAAAGATCGTCGGGCCGACGATCTTTGAAGGTAACCGATGTGTTCGGGATACATCATAGATTAGATCTTGGAATGTTCAAGGAATTCCGTGCAGAAATGGCTGAGAAATAGAAGAATTGATACCAGTTTGAGAGCCCCAGTTTGAAAGTGGGTTGGGCGCTTAACAATTGGATTGCATTTTGCAAAAAGGAACCAGAAGAATTGCGATGATGGTGAGATTGTGCATTTTCATCCTTTGCAATAAAATTAAGTACTGAAACCATGAAAAAATATGAATTTTACATTGTAATTTTGTCTAGAATTTACGGTTTTTAGCGAGTAAAATAGAAACTGTTAATTAATAATCAGGATTTTCTTCCAAGACAAAAGAATTTGCACAATCTTAGCAACATTGCAATGCTCCTGGTTCCTGCAATCCAATTGGTGAGAATGTAATCTTTATTCCCGTTTGTGACATTGAGGAGGCCTAAAGTTCAGGAACCAACCAGAAATGGATTCGTACTGTCTTTACTCTCAGTATAAAGGGACGTACTCCAGCCACTATTTGACGGCTGTATCAGAGCGAGTGGTCACTCGATCTCAGACCGGAGAACCAGTTGGGACGTGGGTATGACTGACCCGACAGCGACCTAGCGCGCCTGCGAAAACCGCATTACTTCAAAAGATTTCTCGTGCAGATCCATGGTTTTTGTTGCTTGGCTTTGTACGGCAACCTCCCGTGGAACGAGGAACTTTCGCCCTCTGCACTACACTCGGCTTGTCTACACTTCAGGGGAAAGTTAATAATCATCAGCAATCATCCGTGATTCGTCACGCTGAATAATAGCTATGAACTTTGCCTAATGAAATAAACTCTAGTTTAGTCGCATTAGTCACAGAATCCTGTTTTAATGGGCAGAGTAGCAATAAATATTGAGATTAGAGTAAACATCAAGTTTCTACATCCAGTAGCGAGGGAAGTGTCGTCCTCGAAATCATAATAAGTAATCGACGTCGGCTACCTTTCAAGAACGCAATTCTACCTCTTCCCTGAAATTATCAGTCAGAGATGCACGTCGAGAAATTATTTTAAAATTACTGATCAGTAAATCAAATCAATCGCAGATATGAGAGAGCATGGGGTTGTTGGATGGTATGGACATTTCCAATTAATTTCGGCAGTACAGTCAATAAATGACAGTATGTTGGAGATTTTTAGCCAACTTGCGTTAAAAATTCAGCATACGTTGCCTTCCTGAATGGTCGTTACTAGTGTTGCACCAAATATCTTATCTCTTTGAGGGAAAATTGTGCTATGTGCTTGTTTCCAGCTTGGTGCTGAATTTTTAACGCACGTTGGCAAAAAAACTCCAACATCCTGTTTTAAGACCCGTTCGTCAACGTAAAATTTTTTCCACCGCAATCAGTTTGCTCAATAAATAAGTTTACTAACCCAAATGTTGCGGTACTCCCACAATTAATTGGAAATGTCCATATCAATTGGGGTAGTACCGCAATTTTAGGAGAGAACCCTTACCATTTGTTTCGCCGGTATATGGGAGAAATAATCATGGTGCTTTTGCCGTGGTGAATGAAGAGATCACCGGGTCCAAAGTCTCTAAGCGTCGAAAACGGGGATGGAAAGAGGACTAGCTGGCAAGAGGGCTGGTAAAGGCGTTGCTCCATTCTCAGCTCCACTTTGGAAAACTGCGTTTGTCCATAGAAATACAGTCGGGCAACGTTCCTCATCGGGCGTTAAAGTCCCCTCAAGCAGTGGCGATTCTTGAAAGTTGGCGACACTGTTTTCCCTCCATTTAAATGTACGTAAAACAATCGATTCCTGGTGAGGCAGCTTGCCTCACTCAAAATCGATAATTTCAATGGATTCAAATGGAAGAAAACAATTGTTGCCAACTTGCAAAATTACCACTGCCTTTGAGGGAGATCTCTTTATATGCAGTACAGTATCGATGAATAGGTACAGGAAAAGACTTGTAAAGAGCGTAAACCTTCATCATAAAATTTTGCAGTAGTCGTTGATTGATGATTATAATTTTCCAACGACCATTTGCACAGTCAACAGACATTTCGGCCTCAGCATTGACACTTTTTCAGAAGTGAAACCAACTGGTATTGATCATCCATCTTCATCATTATCATTTGATCCAAAAACGACAGCAATATCTCGTGCAATTCATCTGAGATGGGAATGTATCGTTACTCATAGAATGCCTCCCTGTGACGTAGATCCGAATCAGTCATATGAGATTCAAGTTACATAAATATCGATTCCATAGACGCTTTTCGATTATTCTCAATGGTTTCATGCGGCGAAACCAGGGACTTGCCACGTGCTTGAACGGATGCTGGCAACGGTGAATGAACGCCGATTTTAATCAAGGCATCCGTGTGATGCAGGCCTATCGCCACTCTACTCTACTCGTCTCGCTTTCTTTCAGTTCACCGGAAACGTTTGCGCCTGTTTCTGCTCTTTAATCCGTAAACCCCGCTTAAAACTGAATATCTCGACGCACGGCCCGTAAGTGAACTGCTAACAAACCCTTGCTACCGTTGCTCCGCAAAGACTTAACCTGCGGTATAAGCGAAATTTTAGTGCGCTCTTCCAAGAGCAGTTGGAACGTACCTAGTAAAAGAAGGGCCGAACTTAGACAAAATTTCATCAAAGGGGTCTTTGATCGATTCCTACGGAAAATAAGCCGCTGAAACCAATACTGGAAAAAAACCGCTTGGATCTAGAGTCCAGACTCTTGAAAACAATGACAATAAAAAATACTCTTGATTCAATCGGATTTTTGCTTAAATCAAGAACCCAGCCTCTTAAATTAAGCGGATTTCCTTTTGATTCAAGTTAAAATCCTATGAAATCAAGATGATTTTTTCTTCTCATTGTTTTCAAGAGTCTATGGACTCTAGATCCAAGCGGTTTTTTTTTCCAGTGAAGTACGCCATGCTATTCTGCCTTCCTCAGACTCCTGGGTAGAGGGAAAGGGTTTCGGATAAATCTAAGTATTTAAGCCAATCCCAAGAAAGATTTAGGCTCGGATGTACCTCTTTATATCCAGGCAACAGTCCAGTTACACCGGGACTGTCGGGGTTACCCTCTGCGCTGAAATGACGGTTTATCCTCCTTTGAATGGCTTATGCCCTCTTTTGAAGGCATATTTAAAAGAGTGTTTAATGCATTCATTTTTGGTATTTTCATATCGTTTCATTGTATAAAGTTGTATTTTCTAAAATTTTAAAAAGTTAATTTTTGGCTTTAGAGCGAGCGTTTCAACCATTGTGTCGTTTAAATAAGCTGAAAAATTTGGTACAGACTACCAGAATTTCAACAATTTTGGGATAAGGAGTCAGATCTCGTGACGAGCCGGACATGTTAAGAATTAGCGGCTCATTTTCTAAACGGACCGATCGAGAACTCCTGTGTTGCAATTTTTTCTAGGTTATCCGTGTATTGGCCTCTCCTTTTCTGGACGCAAGGCAGGACTAGGCACAAGGCAGGGCGGTTCTATCGAAACTAAAACGGTTGTTCTCCACCGCGCGCCGCGGTTCCTTTAATATTCCG